AGTCGAAATAAATGTATATGTTGAAGTCAAAAAAATGCTAAATGAGAATCTTTGCGTCAGCTGGAATGCCGCTTTTCCTTGCACTTACATCATGAGACCAATTTTAGCACCTTTATTTTACTGAAATCATTTATAGAAGCTCTTATCTCTATTTTCAAGCACGAGCCAGTAGTGTCTTATTTTTTAAGGTAGAATCGATGGTAGTCATGTGACAAGCATGGTCTGCATTCTCATGTTTCCTTCCTACTCGTTTATCACAATGATACTCATTTGTCAGCATCGGAAGTAAGAAGGGCTAGTTATCCCAAATCGGACCTTCAACCTAGGAGCTATCGGTTCTGAGTACAACGCTCTACCGACTGACCAACCTAGGTCTGAAACAACATGCGACAGATTTGTTTCTCAAGGGAATTCGTGTTAACTGCAAATATTGCTAGCCCCGGAAATATTGCTGGGCAACCACGAGTTTGATTTGGAAGCCCACTTCTCATGTGTTGTATAACCATGCCCCATATTTGCAAGCTGTAATCCAAATCTAATATCTAGTTACTCTTGAAAACATCTTTAAAGGAACATCATCAAACGCTGGGAAGCATCACTGGTATTTTTAAATCTAGCTTGTCAATTCCGTTAAGAGACACTGGATAGAGCAACGTGGAAATTGATCTTGCTTAGCTGCATTAACAGGACATTTCTAAAACTGTTTGATGAGCTGACTATGAAAGCTTTATTAACTAAAGTCGTATCTTCTGGGTGTACGGTTCAACAACTTACTCATTCGTCGTTAGATAAAAACCAAAGCAATGAAGTCGGCTATGGATGTCAATTGCGGTAAATTCCATCCGCAGCTCAGCCACGACAAATCATGGAACCAGATAAACTATTGGGCCGATAAGCTGTGTGGTTGTCAAATTTATGCTCATCATGTAACGATGTCTTTTGAATAAGGATATGGTATGGGTATGCTTTGGTTCCTTTAGTCGGGCTCGGAATATCGTTGACTGCAGAACGAGCAATACTCTACAATAACTGAGGATACTTAGTGACGAGTAATTTACAAAGCCCGTGCAGGATACTATCGCCGTTAAATTTGAACAAGTATTCTTCCATCCAAAATGCACCGCCGGATTCATTCCGCGCAGGTGTAGCAAGACCGTGCATATTTGTTTTTCGTGGTAAGATGCAGCAGTGTTTTGCTATTGGATTTCGGCTGCTTTAGTGGTTAAAATTTTAGCTTGATCCAGTTCAGGGAGTTGTTGATTCACTTCGTGCCTCGTTTTCAGCTGAATGCTACGGTCTAGGAAGCCCGATAGCATGAAGTATTCCTAAAATGACCTATATGTGGCTGGTCCCTGCACAGTCTTAAAGACAGAACATTATTCTCTTTTCTGATAGCTGCGGATTTCAATTTGCAACGATCTTAAGTCAGACTACCCTTGCTTGTCTCATTGTAGTTTCAACTTACTGCTTTGCCTACACGGCGCTAGGTTTCTTTTAAATCGGCTTTTGTAATTGTACCATGAGGGTTTTTTCTTCTTCCCTTACATTGGTAAGGAAAAGTATGTTCGGAAGCACGTCACTTCTTTTTGTTTTTAGCACAATAGCTCGCTTTGGATTCAAGGAATTATTCTTAATTATTATCGATGTTCAGTCGGTTAATCCATTTTTTGATAAGATGGTAAAAATTCGTGGTCAATTTCATTTTTATTAAAATTTTTCTTCTAGTTCTACCCTTTCCACACTGCACATCATTCTGCTTTGTTGCTACTTGCTTCGCTCAAGGTTGGGTTGACGAAGGCTGAACTGAAAGGGATTCCTGTAAAGGGCGTGTGGCGCCTTGACTCATTTGTTTTAAAGGTCTGCTTTGAACACGGACGGGTGCGGTTCGATTCCATTAGAGGATAATATCTGTCTTATTCACGAATTCCCTTGAGGAAAAAATTTATCACACATTGCTTGAGACCGGGTTGCTCAGTCGGCATGGCTTCTAACTCGTTACCGATAGTTACTGAGTTTAAGCCCAGGTCGTGGTCACTCGACATTTTTCCTTCCGAGGGTGAAAAATGAGTATCGCTCTCTGGGAAGGATACGGGAGACTACACGTTAAACTTCCCACATCACTGTAGATTCTGCCTTGAAAGAGCGCACTCCTGGCTGATGGAACAGAAAGGAGATCAGCACTGCATCATCAACTTAATAAAAGAAAGATCGCCAAAATGATTTAAAGGAAGACCGACATTAAAACGTTGACAAACCTTCCTTTCCTGCATGAAGAGTTGTTTCGTCACAAACGGGAAGACCACGCATAAAATGTTCTTTAATTAGAGACATCTGACTTTTCGGACCAAACTCGGTCCGTCTTCAGAGTACATTATCAAGGGCATATAATATTTCTTCTTATATTACTGGTGCCGTGCTTGTTTATTGGCTTTGATTGGCCGTCTCATGTTAACGGTCCATGTGTCGTTGACGTCTATTCCAAGGTCACGGTTGATAAAGTTAGTTGCTCTGATCAACAACGCTTCTTTGACCTTGCGGGAAAGATATTGTTGTTCCCGCGTGACGCCTTTCA